TCGTATCAGCGAAGTCTCTCTTTCTCCATTTCCTCCCACCTCACCTTCCTGGATCTGATGAGTCCTACAACTTGAGGAGTGAGTCTCCTCATACAAAACACTCCCTGCTTACTGATGGAGCTTCCATGGTTCTTGTGGCTTCGTTTTGCTGGAGAACTCAACACAGTGATAGGAGCTGCCTCTCCCAGGAACAACCACGAGCCTTCTTTTGTATGACGATAAATTCATATGGATCATTCTTCTGTCATGCAAGAAGTATTTGCGCAACCACTGCCACTTTGCAACGTGTATTTTATTTCTAAGAGATCAACCCACACAACAAAGCCTCTGTGGACTTCCTTCCTTCCCTCTGCAAAGAACAGGTCCTGGCTAAAACTCCTATCACACTTTTACCCTCTGCAGGGACAGAGCCCAGTAAATCTTACGACAGTAGACTTGCCCAGCAGGAGTCCTGAGAACCAAACATGCCTCTTGGTGTAACAAAGCACTCTGTGTGGTTACCCTCCGGATCACTAGGGCTGTGGGCCTCATCTTGCAGTCTTCACTCAGACAACACTCCCATTGACTTCCACTGAACTTCTGTCTGAGGAAGGACCTAGGATTTGGCCCAGAAGTTAAAAAAAAAAAAAAAAGACTTCTCAGCTTGCAAATGTAGATGATTAATGTCCCACAGACAGTGGGCAGAGGTTTGGCACACTGTACAAAAGTGACTTAAAGCTTAAATTTTCCTCCTCTTCCTTAGGTTCTTTGCAGACACCGGCTGTGAACTGGTCTGTGAGATGCTGCATTGTACCCATCAGGCGAACATCTCACCTGCCACAGGACTCGACGGAACACAGAGGAGACCACGCAAAGGGCTGAGTCTAGGGATCTACACAAGCTGCCTTCTGTCTCTGCAAGGCTGCAAAGCTTTCTGCTTCCAAGTTTTGCATGCCACTTAAGTAAAACACTGAAAACCTCCTCACTGAGATTAGCCTCTCTATTAGAGCATGCGTTCCGAGACGCTTTCTGAAAGCCTGACTTGCACAGCCTGTCCTCCCCCAAAACCCATTCCCTTATAAGCACTGAGATAAAAAGGGATATCCTGCGCCAAAACAGTGGCCCATACAGCCTCCAACAAGAGAGTGTAAGACAAGGAAGCAGCTGGTCGTCTGTGACTCTCAACAGCCTAGAAGAAGAAGAAATGAAGGGCACACAGAAGTCAAGGAAATAATGCGTGGTCAGTCCTCTTTGGCTCTGCACGCAGCTCTGTAACCCTTTCCCGCTCCTCCAGTAGCGATTCCCTGGCTTGGAGCACGGCACGTTCAAGCAAACAGGCAACCCCAGAGAAAACACTGACAAACTGCGGAGCGCTGTGCGAAGAGAGAGAGGAGGGATGAAGGGTGCAAAGCCATGGACAGACGGAGGTAGGGTCACGGTGGCAAAGTGACAGGATACCAGAGAACAAGAGAAGGATGATCTCTATCGGGCTCACAGACAAACAGGATCCCCCAAGCTAAAAAAGCAGTAAGCCAAGCTATACTGTAAGGACAAGGGGTCCACATGCAGCCTCTTAGTGCCCTTAAAATTCAGAAGACCCCTGAAGGAGATTTTAGCTTACACAGGGAGCCACCAGCAAGATGAGGAAACAAATGACATCATGACAGATGAGGCTGTGCCAGTGCATGTCAACCTATAGACTCTTACTGCAGAGCCAGCAGAGCAGATTGAAGAAAACTGGCCTATGCACGGGCAATTCCCAGCCAACAGACCGAGCTCTCGCTTAATGACAGTCCCGTTTGCAGTCATGGTGCTGGAAGCACATCCAGGGATGGGCTGCAGGTAGATGTGCCACTTTCAGCCCCTTCCAGTTGAGAAGCGGCTCCTAAAATCACTGTGAGTACTGGGCACGGTAAAGAGAAAACTTTATTCAGGGAATAAGCTTCTGTCTTGCTCAGCAGCTGTATGCTCAGATGGGACCAAGGGCAAAGCGGGATACATTCCAGTTTCAGTCATGCTCATGTGAATCATTAATCACTGCAAGGACTAGGGAGAGGCTGTGGAATTATATCCTTGCAGCTTGTTTCAGAAACTGGGCTCAAAATAAAGACAGAGAAACAGAGAGAGCGCCAAAATGATAAAACATGACTGGGAGGAATAACAGAAGAACTGAGTATCGCCTCCTTTTGCGTAACATTGAAACGGCAAGGAGAACAGGTAAGTATCAAAGTGATCCTACAGAGCCAGCACAACATCCAGAACTGTTAATGGTTGCTTCCCCCTCTGTTTGCTGACACACAGACCGAGACCACAGCTGGTTCTGTAAAGGCAAGGAACACTCGGGAATCTCTAACACTTTTGCTGGGAAATAAAACAAAGCAATCGGTGAAGAACTCAGGCAAGAGGAAAAAAGTTCAAAATATGCCAGATTTTGCACGATACACCAAAAAAGTGCTTGAGAGCAGAGAAAGCTGCACGGAGATGGATATAAAAAGAGATTAATTGCTGTGCTCCAGACCAGAGCCATTGGTCAGCCAGCGAGGTCAGGTCTGGTAACAGTAGAGAGTCAAAACCGGGCTAAAAACATACACGGAGGGAGCAAAGGAAGAGGCAGCCACATGTCAAAGGAGGTCATCCTGCCGAAAGAAGGCAAATGGGGAAATGAAACACAAGGGCCAGGCCAAGCTGGCGGAGAGCAGAAGCTTTGAGGGAGAAAGGGAAAGAAGAAACAGAGTGGCTGATGAGAGCTCTGCAACAAGAAGGACAAGAAAAGGAAATGACAACTGGATCTGGAAGGTAGTCAGATGAAAACGGGCTTTTCTTCACCAAGGAGGGTAAGAAAGACTCCGAGAAGAGTGGCAATGAAAGGGAAATACAGGAGTAATAACGTGACATTTCTATAATGCAAATGGCAGTAGTAGCTTGCTAGTGAACTGAGAATGAGGTAAAAAAAATCTGGGAATGAGGTCTTGGGTAAGATGTCTTGCTTCCGAACCTCCCAAGGGCCATGGGTTCCTCCTCAGAACTAAATGCTAACACAGCGGTCTATGGAAAATGGGATGAGAAGAAAACAGCGCCGTGGTACCCTGTCATTCAGGAAGCTCCATACACAATCAGTTATGGGCTTGTTGCTTCTTTAAACCCTACGTAAAGGACTTTGAGACATTTAACAGGAGAAGCAGATGACACAGGGGGTACACAGGACAGAAGTGCATGATTGGGCTAAAGGCTGGAAAGGAGATGCTGGTTTGGATCTCAGCAAATTAACTAGTAAAGCGTGGAGCCAACCATCAAACAATACCTGGAGAAAGGGCAGAAAGAAGCCATGGACTTTGGAAACTCCTTCATGGCCCATAGTCCTGCCATGGTTTGGTTATATGGAAAACTTTAAGAGCAAAGGATTACAGACCAGAATTCAAAAAGTTAAACCACAATGAAATTTATGTCACTCAAGAAAATGTCCTCTTGGCTAAAACAAAACAAACCACTACTGTAGGAGGTGAAAGCAACAAAAGATTGGTCTGGTTTAGAAGAGAATATCCAGATACGTTGGAGGTTGATGGCCGATGGTGCTGTGAGGATCCAGAGAAACATCCACGGAAAAGAGCATCTTTATCAGAAGGGCAGTGTGAATGAATCCTGGGTAAGAGGAGTAGGCAAAGAAAGAAGGCAAAGCTGACGGGACAGATTAAACCTCAAGTAAAAAGCTGCTTAGTCCAGAAATGCCTGATGAATTACCAAGAGTGATCCTGCAGACTCTGAGCAATACTTCTATTCAGTTCTACGGTCTTTTGCCTGAAAAAGATCACTCATCAGCTGGAAAAGAAGAAAAAGCTTGACCATCTTGGTAACCAAAAAGTCAATTACCCTAACATAGCCCATGTAAGATCCTCTAAAACGGATTGACTGAGGTAACAAAAAATGTCCTACATTGTAAAATCAGTCACTACGTCTCAAGCGTCGAGAAGGAGGCACAGCAGAGGACATTCATACCCAAAAGCTGCACCCTGTCTTCCTTTTCCCTCTACAAACACACGGGCAGAACTGTTCCTATTGTGAAGGACGAGGTATGTCAAACTGTAGTGAATGCAAACACTGAGCCACATGCTATTTGATAACAACGCTGGGAAATGACGCATGCTGTTTGTCTACTCCAGGTCCAGCTTCTAAGAAGGGGTCTAGCCATTAGTACTTTGGATGAAAATAGCACTTATTTTCTACAGGTAACTGGGGCGGGGAGGAAGACCAAACTAGAAACAGTGCTTTGCAGACAGGTATAAATGAAAAACCTCTCTTCTACAGAATTATTCTCAACTAAATCTTCAGAAACTGTATTCAGCCGAAGTACGACAAAAGGGGAGTGTAACGGTTCCCTACGGAACGGACTAGTTCCACTGCTTTCTTGGGGTGAAGCTAAAGAAAGAATCCAAATGTTGTTAAAAAGTAATTACTCCTTAAATTGTCATTCCCTATGCTTCAGTAATGTATTAAACACATGTTAAAATACAATTGTCACCTTTTATCCGGACAGTGTCCAGTTAACAAAAAATCTACAAACCACATTAACTGAATGCATTAACCCAATGCTTTTGGGGCTAATGTGCCAGTAAGAGCCTCTAGCATTTCGGCTGTCCCTCAGCTGTCCTTACAAACGATCTGTGCCCTTTAAAATAATTAGTGAACGGGCAAAGTAGAAAATCACACAGTCCAATCCAGTCTTCCGGACTGTACCGCAAAAGCACCGCAGGCATTAGGAGGAGGACGGCAACTACACTACAGCTCCCGACCATAAGAGTTCTGTTTATACCCAGTACGTCACGTAAGGACGGAGGGGACGAAATGCAGGCATTAGGAGGAGAAGGATGGCAACTACACTACAGCTCCCGACCGCAAGAGTTCTGTTTATACCCCGTATGTCACGTAAGGACGGAGGGGACGAAAAGCCTTTGCACCACCAGCACCTAGGCTGCCCTTTCAAGCAGAGGGCGAGCAGCGGGAGCACCCGGAGCACCTCAGCCTACCTGTGGCACAAAGGGCAATGAATGTTTGTGCATGCTTCCGGATCAAAAGCAACTTGTCTTTAGGTAGAGGCAGTTTCCTTAGGATGTGTTCAATGAAATCGTGTGGGGTGACGGCTGCGAGGTTCCACTTCAACTTCCCCAGCACCACCAGCTCCCATTCCTGCAGGGGGGGGGGGTGGGGAGAAGAGAAGCCATAAGCAAGCTTGAAAAAAATACCACTTTGCTTATTTCTCTGACTGTAATTATATCACTGCTAAATTGGTTTTGCTCAAACATTTTTTTCCGTATGCCCCTACTGCTTTGAAGTTGTTGACTTTATTACTTTTTAAAAAAAAAAAAACAAAACACTGGAAATGTCAGGCTCTACTGAAAATAATGAGACCTGGCAGCTCCTGCCAAGATTTTACTTTTTTTGTATCCAGCGCTGAATGCCCACCCAGAAAGTTTAGCCTGCAATTAGATATTGCCAAGGTCACTGTGGTCCTTTCCTAGTAACTTCTTTTAAATGGCTCTAGTCCTTACTTTATAGCCATTTAAAGCCCTACGGATAACCATGCGCAGAAATAATGTACATATACATTCTTTTTTTCCCCCCAAAACTGAGGAAGTTAGCTGGATGGCCTTCCCTCCAAAAACTGTATTCAAAAGCTCCCAGAGATAAATCCGATGGCGCTTATACTACTCCAGGACAAGGCTTTGCAGAAAGGAAATGCAAGTAACAGCCAAAAAATAGCCTGTGTAACATCTGCCAATAAATCCTGTAGGATCCATTCCCGCATTCTTTGCACACCCAAAACTCCCAGTGAAATCGAAGAGAAGCTTGGCTACACAGGTAACTACTGGCCATTCCCCACGACGTGATTACAAGCAGAAATGGTACCTAGTCAACAGATCCGGCCACGGGGTTCAAGCACGGCTGGACCTGCACGCTTCAACATTTAACCTAAGTTTCGAATACCTTACAGCGCTCCGCAGAGCGAACAAAGCTCAGGCCTTGGACTAGTTTCTGTCTCGTGCACTGACTATTAGCTGTTAACTGAATTCCATGCACTGAATCTTTGAGCCCTGATGATGCGTGAGCCTGATGGAGCCCAGCATGGCTGGGAGCCCCGGCTAAGCTTGCAGAGCTGGCAAGTCGAGCAAAAACGCCCATTAATTTTGCAGCCGAGGAGACGTCAACCAGCGTTGCTGAGAAACCATAAACATGGACCCCACAATGCCATTTCTGCCGTCGTTTCTCTGAATAGATGCCCACTTTAATAGTGAGTTACTCTTTTACAGACATTCCTACTGGATTATGGCAGAGCCCTCCATAGCTTGAAAAATCTCACATTCACGTATGCAAGCAGCCACAGAAAACAGATGGGGCTTTTTTGCTTTCTCAAGAAAACCTGTAAAATACTTGAACATCACGGCAATTACGTTAGCTAAGGACTGATCCTCCCGAGAGTACTCATGCAACAGAATTTGATATAGAAAATACAGAGATCCAGGGGTCTGAATACAAGGAAGCACCTAAAACACATGCTTAAATCCACGTGGCACAAAAAGGTAGGCACGCTGTTCCACGTCTCCTCGCGCAGGGGCCACGGCACTTCCCCAACACCCCTCAACACCAGCGGGACGCCTTGCCAGTGACAGCCATGGCAGGGTTTGGGGTACAACCCTCTTCCACGGCAGGGTTTGGGGTACAACCCTCTTCCACGGCAGCGTTTGGGGTACAACCCTCTTCCACGGCAGGGTTTGCCGTACA